TAAAAACAAGGAAGAAAGGAAAGTAACAGTTTTAAACACCTACATATTAGAAACATGAGTGTTTTTACTTAATCTTAAGTAAGTCATTTTACAAATGAAACTGATACTGAGAGAATATGAGACAATAAATGAAGAGACACAATAAACGAAGAGAAAGGGTTGAAACCCAGGGCTTGGGACTCCAAATCTTATTTCTAATGGCCAGTGGCTACTGCTTCCCTTTGGTGCTGTCTTTTCCTCTGCACTTGCCATTTATTTCAATAAAATTGCCCCCAGACCAATTGGCTTATTTTCTGGGGCAGGCTGCCATTTCCAAATCTAGTTTCTGAAGCCATTGAATAGCTCAGCACTATGAGGTCTACCCAAGAGCCAATCAGCGTGGCTTGGTCTATTCTATTGCTGTTGAACATGGTCTGGATGCCCAGATGCTGGGTTATAGAGTGGACCTGTGAGGAAGCCCAGGGTAACAGAAACATTGATGGAAACCAAAAATTATCTCATATGAGGGGGAACCCCTCAAAACCTGGAATTTATTTATAAAAAATTGTGTCTTTTCTTACATGTTTAAATTTCTGTCAACCTTCAAAGTACTCTCCGTTTGATGCAATATACCTATTGAGACACTATTTCCTCTGCTCAAAATGGTTTTTAAACTTGTCAATTTTGATGCCGTTTAGCTTCTGCACCTCTTCCACATGGGCAAAATGTTTTCCTTGAGAACTTTTTTCATCCAGGGAAATAAAAAAAGTTGCTCTGAGAGAGAGGAGGTAAATAGGGAGGGTAGGGTATGGGAGTCATGCTATTTTTGGTCAAAAACTACTGAACACTTAGCCTGGTGTGGGCACGTGTGCACGTAAATCACTCATCATGAAATGGGCAAACACAATGAAAGAATCTAAAAAAAAAAAAAATTGAAGCTGAACATAACCTCTCACAACAACGCTAGCTTGCACACTGATGCTGATGGGTTTTTAGGACGCTAACCTGGTGGGTGAAGCCTTTACTATAAGGATCTCACCCTGCAAAAATAATTCTGGTTTTCTTTGGGTCCCTCCTCATACATTGGAACCCTACTGTTTTGTTATCTGACTGCCAGATCGAAGAACCCCAACGCTAGGTTAGATTGCTAGGTTCATTATTACATGACCTGGTGAGCTACACAGGGTTGAGAATCAGTGACCAGGAAGAGGTGCCTGACCTAGAACTGCCCCGCTCATTGGGCATCTTCAGCCAGGAAAGTGCCTCTCTCCCAGCAGCAGCCTCTCCCGTCAGTAGGATTGTTAGATGCATTGCTGTTCCTGGGTTTGTGCATAGATATTCCTTTAATAGTGGAGTTGTTATTAAACCTTTGTCCTTTTTTGCAGAAACAGGGCATCAGCTACCTGCTTTTTTTGTTTTATCCACAGTAGGCACTTGAGTGAGGAGGCAGAATTTTAACCTCTTCTTCCTGATTTTGCTGTGTGAATGTGAATATTTGTGCATTTATTGCCTCCCTGGTATCCTGATGAAATGGATCCTGCTGCAGAATCTAGGCTCTGGGAGAGACCTCTGCCTGTGGGAACGTCGACATCTGAATGAAGCCAAAGGGTTCCAGAGGTGTAGAAGGAAAACATTGTTGTGGGGCTTCAGGTTCTAGGTGGTTTGTGATCACTTGGAGCAGTTTTTTCATATATTGAGACTTTGATTTTTTCATTCAGTAAAAAATCCTTTGCTCTTCAGCAGAAAACGTTGAAATACTAGTCTATGCCATCTAGGAGGAACTTATATTCTCTTATGAAAGAATTCCAGAAATGAAAATTTAGACCTGTTTTACTTGTTTTCATAGATTGTTTGAATAGTGATAACTTGGGATAGAGGCAGGTCTGAGTGATTGTGAAGAGACCAGAAGTAGGATTTGCTTGTTAAAAACTCTGCAAGCATTCCACCCTGCCAAGGTTGTTGTACAACTTCACGATGACATCTCCTGGAGCTGAGCGATGCAATGACCTGTCCATAGCACTGCATTTTATACCATTGGAATAGGGGTGGTAAAACAGAGAAAGTAGATCAGGTCTTCTGCCCTTGGAGTGGATTATGATCTACTTTAAAAAACAGTCCTTAGTTGGTAAGGTTTGGGGAGGGGGGTGGTACACAGCACTTTTCTTCCCTGTTCATTTTCAGAACCAACTGAAAGAGACAAAGGAATCAAGCCGATAGAGGTTAAAATATCATTTTTATGACTAATAAAGCTGATCCTGGGAAATGTAGTTTATCTGTGGACAAGTGAGTTTCTTAAAGTGAACTCTAGAATCAAATAGACTTACCTACAAGTCATAGGTGGCACTGGAGTACTGCAGGCTTCTCCTCCTACCAGCCATCCCTCTCTACCCATTGCCTTCTGCCCTAACATTTATACAGTTAGGGAGCAGAGCACAGAGGGAGCCAAGCTACACATATCCAGTTCTTATCTTCCAAATTACTGACACAGGAAAAAGGCCCACTGTGTTACATTGAAAGATATTCCTCCACAGGGAAGCACTAGGTTAGGAAAAAGGAGATTCCCTCCCTCAAAAAAGCCCCTGTGATCAGCTTGAGATGAACTTTAAAGCAATACACACTGACTGTATGAATTTTTGGTAAAAGATGTGTACAGATATTGAAAAGGAATGGTCAGGGTAGTAAGTGTTTAATTAGGGCATACTTCTGGAAGGAGGCAATGGGCACATTTGGTAGAGAGAAGCACACATCTTAAAGGGACTGACCTGTTGAAATTGGGAGCATTCACTCATGGTGAGCTTGAACTGTGGAAAAATGAAAAAGGCCTCCCAATATGACTCATATAATGGTTTTCATGATCTTGAAGATGTGAGTTAGCATCACCAACCCCAGTAGTTGTAAATGGAATGTAAGATTAGTTGGCACAGTCCCAACTAGATCAAGCTCCCAGGCGTCAGGCCTAGCCAGTGCAGTGTATGGATGGCCTGCAAGGCTGCAGGTGGGAGGGGATGGTTCTGGAGGTCCTTGCAAGACGAGGATGTGGCATTAGACATCATGAGTGGGTCCCTCATCTGATTTATTACTAGTTTGACAGGTTAGGGGTATTCTGGTTTTTCCATCTGAAAAAAATACCTAAAGATTTATTTTGAACAAATAGAAGATTAAAAAAAAATTGTTTCCTTTTTGTCTAAACAGCTAGGATACAAATTGAAAGCTGTGGGGGTGTAGACTTGATTGATGTGATGCTTTCTTTTGAGTTTTCAGTTTCTTAATTGAAAATGGTTTAAAATCCCACAGATTCTGAGGTGAGGACAGGGAGGAATGGTATCTCAGACCTTCCAAAAACAGTGGATAAGCCAAAGGTCATTTTCTTCTTGACTTTGAAATACTATGTGTAACTTTAGTATGGTGGATTTCTCTTTCAAAGCACATTTTTCTTAAGATGACATTATAATCTGCTGGTCTTCTCAGAGCACCCAGAAACTGGCAGTTGAAAATTATGGAAAGAAGATTAAAATTAACTATGGATGAATACAGAGATAATAATTATTTAAAAGCAACACATTTCCATTTGATCTATTTACTACCTGTGTGTACATTTTAGGATTATTCATACTTAATGTGTGAATAAGTGGTATAGCCAAATCCATAAGGTAGTTATGGTCAAGTTAGATTGGCTAACCTAAGCCTAATGTTAATCGGAGATATCTGTCTGTCCATGTTGTATAGTATAAAGTTTGATGTGACTGAGAGCAGAGAGACCCAGGTGACCTCTTGGTGATCTATTTATATCTCCAAGACTTAGTGAGTTGTCTTCTCTCTGCCTCATAAAACAAAATAACATATGTAAAATGTTGAGCACAGTGCCTGGTACATAGGAAGCTCTCTAATACTTAGCAACATGAGGAAATAGTTACTGTATTCTAATGTGAAAATAGTAATAAAATAGTATGTAAAATTTTTTCCTGGTTGTGCAAAGTTCAACAAGTAGTTATTAAGTTCTTGTATGCCAGATGCTGTTTTAGGGACTGGAATACAAGAACTAGGTAGGGAAGAATATATCATTGCTTTGTGTCTCTTTAATTGTGTATTACAGACTAAGTTGTTGCTTGCTGCTGTGAAGACCTCTATGGATAGAAAATGTTTATTTATTTTCCCTAATTATGTTGGAAGCCAGAGAGTGACTGTGCAGATATTTGACCACTGATAGCTGAGTGGGTCAGTGCCTTCTCTGAGAAGTCAGTCAGATAAACCCTGCCCATCTTTTTCTGTGGATGAAGGCGGTGCTTAGGAAGAACTTGCTTAGCCTCTATGTTAGCTCAGGAACAAGGGTTGATGTTGAAACATATTTACTGAGTTCCTTAAGGCAAAGCCCAAACCCGCTTGGAATCTGCTCTTTCTGAGAGCCTTTGCTACAGGGAATCATTGTGACGATCCTTTTCTTCTTCAATGTCTTTTCATTTGTTACTGTACTGGGTCTTTTGAATTTTGATTTTGGGGAGAGGGTCTTAGAAATATAGCTCCTGGCTCATTCTTGATTGAGCATGTGAGTCAAGTTAATAGATTCTCAAACTGGATTTGACTTTGGGACACTTTATCAATGTATGGAGTTTGAAATTTCAGTTTGCATAATTCACTGGCCATGGTTGGTGGGGCTCATCTTGGCCCCTACTCTTTACTGCCCACTGTGTCATCTAAGGTAAGTCTTTAGTTCTCTGTACCTAAGTTTCTTCCAGAAGATCAGGTGGGAATTTCAACCTATGTCCTAATTGTTTTACAAGAGTTAAGAGATCTGCACTTAAAAAATTGTTTGCACAGAAGAAAACCTCCACTGAATAGTCTCTGTGAAAGTTTTTATTCCAACAAGCAAAGAAATCAATGATGTGATAATCTGGCATCTGAAAGAATGAGACCATTTAAAAAATGAATTAATATTTGTTACCTATTCATTCTCAAATCTTTGCTTCCATAGCCCCTCAAATGAGAATGCAAATTACTGACCAACCTTTTGGTATTCTTTTCAGGGACACCTGTGTGGTTCTTTGTGAAAATTGCTCCAATTCGAAACGAACAGGATAAAGTGGTATTATTTCTTTGCACTTTCAGTGACATAACAGCTTTCAAACAGCCAATTGAGGATGATTCATGTAAAGGTTTGTAATTCTAATTTGTACAAATACATTTATGCTTTTTTGCCTTTAGTGTGGCTCTTGTTACAGAGGATTTGAGGTTGCCAAGGCAATCTCTTCACAAAGATCAAGATTTAAACTTTAATTTGTGTTGGGTAAAATACCGTGTCATTCTGGGATGTATGAGGGTAAGAGAGGGAGAGAAATGAACACTTTGTTAGGAAAGCATTTGAATCAATTTTATACCTTTTAAAATTAACCCTTTCATTTGCAGTTGGGCAAAAGAAGGCAGTTGGGCAACTCTGGTATTAGAATCTTTTCAGGTTTTCACATGAAAATGTCAGTCACCGAAATGGGTAGTCCATGGCCACATTCATCTGATTTATACATAAACTTTCTTAGATTTGGTTGAATTCTAGCACTCCAAGATTGTTAAAGGAGTCCTTAGCCCATCTCTACCTCTGTGGTTGTGCTAAGCCCGTGGCTGGTCAATTCATTTGGAACATAGCACTAATGAGGTCTTGAGTAACAACATTTCCATATGGATCATTTAATCAGCTCTGTAGCCATAGTTTTGAGCACTCACCTCAGCTGCATCATATGCATGTATTGTTTGCATAATGTGGGGCACCTAGGAAAGGAGATGACTCACAACTTCTGGAACAACTCTACCTCTGAAGAGGTCCAACTCATTAGGATGTACAAAAGAAGGCATGCTATTCCCTGAGGTTTGGGATTAGGGGTAACATAGCATCTCTTTCATAGCTTGCACTCAAGATAATGAAGAGGCTAGGAGCTATTTCATGTTACATTGCTACCTGACTCTGTGGTTGATTTTCCAGCTCTATCTGAAAACTCTTCTCCTTGAGGTTTCCGGAGATGTAGGAAAGAGATGAGAGGAGTCCAGAGGAGAGTCAAACTGGGATATTTTATTCTTGATGTTATAAAATTTTTATTGTTAAATGGGCATTACAGGAGAAAATAAAAAGCATTATGTGAATGTTCTCTTGGGAACTATGTCCTCTGAGGGTATTTTAAATCCTGGCACATGTAGACACATTTATGGAGTTCAGAGCACAATGCTGTGTATACCAGTGCATCCTAATTTTTAAAATTGTCTAATAGCTTAATAGATCCATTTTGGCCTGCCTTTTGGTTTTAAGACTGCAGCAGATACTAAGTCTCTCAACCAATGTCTCAGTCTCTTGAAGTCTTCCTTTTCTTGCAGATTCATGATTGCCTGATTTCTAGTTTTGGATTTGAATATTTCTCAGTGCAATAGGTATTAAGTGACAATAGACTCACTCATGACTAAGCACCATCTTGTTACCATTTAGAAAGACCAGAAAGGCTTTTTAAACCTAATAACCTCATAAATGTTATTTTAAAGACAATCAGATATTTTGACACTTATTTTTGCAAGTGTTCTCTTAAAAATTTAGATATGTAATTTGGCTGAGTCAAATGTTTTCTTTTTCTGACCACTGGAACATTTTTAGGTGATGTGCAGGTATTAATTAATAGAAAAGGCATACATAGCAGAGAATGCTATGCTCCTTACCTGTCACCTAGGTGCCTGCATTTGATTCTCATGCAACCTGAAAGAAGATAAACCAGAGTGATGTAGTGAGAATCACTTAGGTTTATTTTCCAGAAATAAAATGCTTCACTTCATTTAATCTGCCACAGTGGTGCATTTACTTGCTGATAAGAGTTTTGGTTGACATGTACCTACATACAGAGACGCTCATGAGTACACACACACACACACACACACACACACACACACATACACACACACACACACACACACACGTGTGTGTGCCTTATTCCTTATTAGTGGAAGGAACTAGGTATTAATTATCTTTGTCAATGAGATAAGTAGGAGTAACTGTGGATTGATTTGTAAAAATTTAACACACATGCATACTCGCATATACTTTAGCCCTAAATATAGGAATCCTGCTAGAAGACCATGCTTAATGGCCTCAAAGACATGGCTTTATAAGCTTGAAATGCTATGGAAGATATGTTCAGACCATGCCCCTGGCCCACTCTGCTTTGGTGATCTGCTTAGAACAAAGTCAACTTTTATATTATTCTGTTTATGATGGAATCATATGATAATTCTCCAGGCCTTGCTGGCTGTAAAGCTATAAGCTGCAGTTCTGGCTGCAAGGATCAAATCTAGATCCTAGAAAATACTCTACCATGTGGCTGGATTGTTTTCCTGGCTTGACATTTCTTCTTGGATGTACTCTGAGCAGTTTGTTTCCAGCAGACCAGCTGGGTTTTGAGTATAGCACCTCAGTCAGCATTAAGAGTCTTAAAAGTCTTGCTGACCCAGGCTTGTTTGGAATCCACTTTGGAGATGGAATGGAAGGATGGATCATCTAAAACCCCAGAAAATTCCCAGATAATTGCATTTTGGCACAGCCACACGGGATGTTTTTTCCATCATCAGATTAGTCTTTTAAGTCAGTTGTGCTCAAATTGCCTTTAAAATTACTTTGCTTTCTCTGATCATGTAGTGCCTAACTTTGGGACTTAGGGGTGGAATAGTGATGCCAGAAGCCAGTGTATGTCTCCAGTTTTCCCACAAACCACCCACAAAAGGGTCAACACATGGGATAATTGACAATAGACTATGTCGGCATCTGACACAAAGTAACTCTCCTTCCACCCAGAACCTTAGGCACAGGGGATGAGCACTGGGAATGCTTCCTGAGCTCCCTCTTCCACTTGGTGTGTCAGTTCTCACGATTGTTTTTATGAGCTGTACAGGCCCCAGACTTCATCTTCACTTACTGCCTTTTGACTAATTCTCTTATTCTCTGACAAATAGTGCCCACAGATGGCATGGAGCAGGGAGTGAAAGTCAAGCTAGGTTAGCTGTTTGGAAACAGCTGTGTGTGTGTGTGTGTGTGTGTGTGTGTGTGTGTGTGTGTGTGTGTGTGTGTTTAAAGGCTGAACGAGACAGTAAGTGTGAATTTTTGGTTAAAATGAGAATCCGTGATGCTCCAGCAGTTTCATTTGTTCTTTATCTCTTGCTTACTGTTATTATGGATAATTGGAGTAGGCTGCAGCATATATTTCTGTCGCATTCTCCCTCTGAGCCAGGAAACTTGAGCAAATGGGTAGAGACGAATTAGAGTACAAGGTTTAGAGTTTTCTCTATGCTGCTCACCAAAAGATGAGTCACTCCTCTTGTTTTCTCTCTTGCCCACCAAATAATCTCATATTAAAGGGACAAGTTCATTTTCAAAGATCCACATATTTACTTCTAAATTCAGAGATAAACTTGAGTCAAATACAGATAACAAAAGTATTGTAAAACTCCAAAGCAGATTTTTAAGAGCCAAAGATTTAGAATATTGAAGAATGAAGACTCTAGCAGACTGTTGTAACTGCTGACCCTTCTCTGTGTATCTTCATATGGGACATTTATGAGGCACTCTTGGGAAAGAATCAAAGTAATAGATTTAAGCCACAGGTTTCCCTCCTCCCTCCATGTTAATATTTTATGTCTATGCCCTTAGAATGATGGAAAAGCGATATTTAGTAACAACTACTTAAAAAAGCCATTCTAGATTTTTAGTTACTTGCACATTGGTAGGGAAAAGATTATAGAAAAAGACTTGAGGACACTTAGGCAGTGGTCCACGCTGACCATCCTTCCTGGTATCCTATACTCTTCTGGGTGTTGGGTTATAGCATTAGCTCCTTTGAGATAATTTGTTCTCTGTATTTCAGAACAAGGCTACCCTCTGTCTTTTCTGATATCCCTATACTTATCCTCAGAGTAACTGGCATTCTAACTCATCTCAGAACCATCTCTGCTGTCCTAGAGAAGATGCAGGGCTATGCAAGCTAAAGCAGCCTCTTTGGTGACTCAGCCAAGTTAAAACCTAGCAGCCACTGTGTCAAGGTTGGGGAAAGCAGTCATCCTTCCTGAGAATGGAGAAAGGAGCCAGTAAATAGTTTTGTTTTTTTTTGCAGTTTGCTCGACTGCACATTGTATTCCCCTCCTTCCATCTTTCTTCACTTTTTATTCTTCCTCTTCATCGCTTTGTTTACCTCCTCTAATTTTCCTGATCATGTGGTGCTTTTAATTTTCCCATGGCACCCACAACCCTGCTATGTCTAATTTGCTGGTGACATTTGTGGTAGAGCTAAAAGAACCCCGGGACAGGGGGTTCTTCATTTGATTTCAGTTTAATGTTTGAACTTTCAAATGGGATGTTTGGAGGAGTGGGTGCAGAAATACCTGGCACAAGAAGGAGGCACAGGAATACCCCTTAAAACTGAACAGCTTGCGAAGTGGACTGCTTATCCATTGGGATTTTATATCTCAATGGACAGAGGTAAGGCATTGAGAGAAAAAAATTATCCTTTGACCACATTTTATTCAACATACACTTATTGGGTGTCTTCTGGGTGTCTGACTTCGTGGTAAGTGCTAGACACAAGGAAATGTCTGAGATAGGAAATGTCTGAGATACAGCCCCTGTTTGTTTGAGTCTTCTTGGGAGAAAGGGCAGACAGTAGGCCAATAAGAACAACAAAGCACAATCAATGCTTTAGAAGTTTGTCTAAGGCATGTGAAGGTAAAACCAAGGGAGCAGGGAATTCTGCTAGGGATAGGCCAGCATCTGGGAAAGGCTTTCTTGAAGGAGGAGGATGAGTCAGCTGTCTTAATTTCATTGTGGAAGATGACCGTCTGGCTTCTCCTGAGCAAGACCATCTTGGTCTATGGTCTCATTGGGCTACCCTCTCCCAGTTGGCCTTTTGGACAATAGGCGTTTCACTTTCTCCAGAAATGGTTCCTCTGATCGCTTGGTGATAAGGGGCATCACAGTTCCAAATTGTACAGATTGTTTCACACCAAACTGGTTGGCTCTTCTTGTTTTTAATCTCACTGAATAGCTGTCACCCAAGTCACCCAAGCCAGAAACTCAGGCTCCACCTGTATTACTGCTTCTCTTCCTTCATAGCTGTTTTTCAGAGTACTGTTGATTTTGCCTCTGTGAAAGTCTCACCTTGTCTCTTGGTCCAGGCTATGGCAGTGGTCCAGGCCAGTGTGGTCTCTTGCCTGGGATCCTGACTCATCTTCTCTCTGTCTACTATCCATGCTGTTTTTTCTTTCCATCTTAAATGGAAGTTGGTGTTTGTATCTCTCTCCTCAACACTCCTTCAGCTGTTTAGGGTTTCAAGATGAAGTTCAGATTTCTTTCTTTTTTTTTAGTTTAGAAAATATAGTTTGCCGGGCTCGGTGGCTCAGCCTGTAATCCTGTGCCTTTGGGAGGCTGAGGTGAGTGGATTGCCTGAGCCCACAGGTTTGAGACCCACCTGGGCAGCGAGACCTCATCTCTACAATAAATCAAAAAATCAGCCGGGCATGATAGCACATGTCTGTAATTCTGGCTACTCGGAAGGCTGAGGCGGAAGGATCGCCAGAGCCCAGCAGGTCGAGGCTGCGGTGGCCGGGAGCGGCCACTGCACTCCAGTCTGGGCGACCGAGTGAGACTCCAACTCAAAAAAAAAGAAAATATAGTTTATTTGAAAGTAAATTAGAGAGAAAGTGGAGATTCACCTCCCCAAGGTAGGGGAGGGGGCCAAAGCCAGGAAACATGGCTACAGCCATAGCTCAAAGAGCACAGGGCCACAACAGAGTCTAGTAAGGCAATGGCCAAGTTCAGACTCCTTGACTTACTGCCCAGGTTCTTCCTGGTCTGCCCCTGCCAACCTCTTTAGCATCACTTCATAAAACTCTTGGCATCCCCCTCCCTCTTACAAGTCATGCCCCATTCTTCTATCCCTTCAGAATATCTTGCTCTTCACTGACATATTACCCTGTTTTATGATTTCCTACCTTTGTAGAACTGTTCCTTCTGTGTGGAATGTCTTTTACCTTCTTGAGTCCACCCAATTCCTATTAATATTTTAAAATTTTACCTTAGCATCCCCTCCTCCAGGAAGCCTTCCTTGACTCCCCAGCCTGGTCTAGATATGCCCTTTCTAGGCAATTTTGGCCATAGCATCCTGTCATAGAACTTAGCTCACTGTACCATTATTTTTTCCTTACTTGTCAGTCCTCCCTACTAGAATGTGTAATCTGAGGCCAGAGTCTGTGTCTTATTCATGTTAACATCTCTAGTATCTAGTGCTATACCTGGCACATAGTAATGTTTATAGCATTAATTCGTGGATGAATGAATCTATTCTTTCATGTAGCTAGGTGTGATTGCTATTATAAAGTATCTATAGAGCAGGAAGGAGAAGATGGGCTTGGGAACTTGAGAGATAACTTATTTCCTTCAGCACAGGCAGAACCTGCCCATCCTGGGTAGGTTTGTGACAGGGAAATTTCACCTGCCTATCTATTTCCCATCCAATGCCCACTCACTGTCCCATGTCCTTGCTCAGTCAGCTGCAAATCAGCTCCTTTAAAAGCCACATTCTTGGAAAGATGATCAAGGCTAGCCTGAACATGGGAAATGCTCAGAAGTTCAGCCACCTTCCTTTTCATTCTTTCATGTTATATCAGCTGATGGACCAAGGTGTCTGGGGCATCTGCCCTGCCAGCTCCCTCTCATCACTGTTCCCACAGTATGGGTGACAGAGGTGGTGGCAGTGGTGACAGGGTGAGTGCAGAGCCCTTGCTGATGTTTGTGTGCACAACTCTTTTCTACCTGATTGAAAAATAAACTTCTGCTCTTCTTGGATAACTTTGAAACATTCAATTCCAGCTTTGTTTTGAGCCAAAGCGGAGCCTGACTCTGAAAAAGACTTTTTTTTTAAAAAACAATCTTAGTTCTCAGTTACCAGTGCACATTCTCATTGGTGCTTTTGGGAGAGATATCAAAGATCCCTTCAGATTCTGTACTGTCCCCTCCTGTTAATATAACACAGTCCAACCACTAAGCATCTCTTTTCAAGCTGATCCCAGCAATTCCACACTCTGCTTCGTGGCATCAGTGTGGATGAAAGCACCACTAGCTTTTTATTAAAGCCCAGCACTTCTGGAAGAAGATAAAAAAAAAAGAGCTGATTTGCTGTTCTTGCTATGTTGACAAAAATTTATCCAGTTCATGATTCTTAATGGTTGTGCAGAACAATAAAATAAGGCCGTTCTTCCCCTTAACTTCCATTGTCCTCTAGATTTGAAGTCTGCTTGGAAAGGTGCTCCAGGGTAAAATTTGGCAGATGAGATATGTATTGGAAGATGCTAAATGCTTCCAAATACTAAAGAATGAAAAAAAAATCACATAGTCCTGCTTTTAGTTGTCATGTAAAAATGTTGCATGCTCTGTTTTATTTGCTGCATACACTATGTCCAGGTTTTTGAAGCTCCTGAAACCCAAGCCTGGTCTTGAGAACCCTGACAGGCTTTTGGGGTCTTATGGGGAAACTGCCATGGTCATAACCTTGATGCAGATGTGTTGTTGGATGTGGAATAGATGATTGTCTTTGGGGCCTGTAAAAGCAGTTAAGATCACTCAGATGTCTTAGATTCTCAGTAAAGACCTGTCACCAGGCATCCTTTCCTCATCTCAAAGCAGACTAAAATCTGCCAGTGCTTTCGCCCCCACCTACCCAGGGATTGAATTCCTTTCTTATTCCCATGGCCTCAGAGAAGATAATACATGGAATGACCATTTGACTAACTTGTCCATTTAAAACTTAGAACTGGCTCAGTTTCCACAAGATCAGACAGCATACAGATTGGGAACAGCCTAAGCCAAGTCACAGAGTAAGAGAAATGTCTCAGTTGTCTGGTACTATTTGGTAGAAAACCTTGGGCCAGAGTGGAGAGAGATCTGGGTTCTAGACTCTTTCTCATAACTCTGTGTCTCAGTCTTCCTATTTGTAAAATGATACTAAGACCTACCCTACCAACGTCACAAGCTGTGATTAGGATGGAGTAAAAGTGTATGGGGAAAGCAAATTGCTACATGCATGTGAGTATGTCAAGGTGCTTTTCTGAGCAGCGAATCTTGCTTGTGGGGATGTGAAGTGACCCGGGGAAGCTCAGGACACAGGGGGTATCTGTTTCTGACACTGTAAGTGGTGATGTGAATGTCCTTGCTCTCTGGGACATAGCTGACATGGTTGACCCTATTTTTTCACTCTTCCATGTGCTGCAGGCTGGGGGAAGTTTGCACGCCTGACCAGAGCACTGACAAGCAGCAGGGGAGTCCTGCAGCAACTGGCTCCCAGCGTGCAGAAAGGCGAGAACGTTCACAAGCACTCCCGTCTAGCAGAGGTAAGGAAGGGCCAGGGATTAGCTCATCTTGACCCTCACTTCCAGGGGCTGTGGGGGTTAAGGAAATGGCACAAAGCTAGCTGTCTTGGAGGGGACCTTCAGGAGGACCCCCAGACTCCTGTCTTGCCTGGGCTACATATCACTGTGTGTGACATTGGGTAAGTGACCTAACTCCGAGTTTTGTACTTTCTCATATTTAAAAGCAGGTTGACCAGCATGGGCAACATAGCAAGATCTCATCTCTACAAAAAAAAAAAAAAAAAAAATTAGTGGGGCATGGTGGTGTGCACCTGTAGTCCCAGTTGTTTGGGAGACTGAGGTGGGAGGATCACTTGACTCCTGGAGTTCAAGTCTTTGGTGAGCTGTGATCATACCACTGGAGGCTATTAATAGAATAACCTCCTCTCCTGTTCTTCTTCCCCTTGCTCACTTTTATCTGGCCACACTGGCCTCCTTGTTGCTCCTTGTACATACCAGACTTGACTGCAAGTCTTTGCCAAATGTCACTTTCTCTATGCAGCTACCTGTATTAGTCAGGGTTTTGCCAAAGAAATAGAACTAGTAGGATATTTATATGTTAAAAGAAGCTGGGTTCAGTGGCTCATGCCTGTAATCCCAGCACTTTGGGAGGCTGAGGTGGGAGGACTGCTTGAGTCCAGGAGTTTGAGACCAGCCTAGGCAACATGGCAAGACCTTGTCTCTAGAGAAAATCAAAAAATTAACTGGGTGTCATGGTGCCTACACATAGTCCCAACTACTCAGGAGGTTGAGGCGGAAGGATTGCCTGAGTCTATAAAATCAAGACTGTAGTGAGCCGTGGTCATGCCACTGCACTGCAGTCTGGGCAACAGAGTGAGACCCTGACTAAATATATAAAGATGTATTGCAAGTTATTGGCTTACATAGTTGTGGGGGTTGGTTAAGTGGCTCCAGAATTCATTGGGAAGATTGGCAGACTGGAAACTCTTGGGAGGAGCTAATGCTGAATCCACAGATGAATTCCTTCTTCCTCAGGGAAACTCAGTTTTGCTTTTAAGGACTTTCAATTGACTAGATGGAGCCCACTCGGATTACAGAGGATAATCTTTTTTCCTGAAAGACACTAATTACAGATATTAGTCACATCTACAAAATATCTTCATGGAAACAATTTCATTGTTTGCTTGAATAACTGGGTTCCAAGGCCTAGCCACGTTGACAGATAGAACTTATGATTACAGTTTACCCCTTGTTAACTTGACAGTCATATATACATTTTTCTAAGCCAAATAAGACAATAACAAAATCATACTTCCACCTAACATGATAGAATTAGCATATGTACAACAGAAAACATACCAACTCTTTCCCCCAAAGAGGATGTAAAGTCCTTGGTGACATTTACTCTCTTCATATCCCATAACTTAAATACGTTGACGTAAAGTTAACTATTATTAATCCATCTGATGTTATATAGTAAGGGGATAAGGAAGAGAAGAAAATAATAGTGTTTGAGATATATATATTCACAGCAAAAAAGAAAGAATTGCAACTCCAAGTCCTCTTCTTAATCTGCACTGTTTTCCACTTAATACCTTCTAATGTGTTATACAGTTTACTTATTTATCGTTTGTTTTTTATTGATAAATCCCAAGCACTTAAGACAGTGTTTGAAACTTAGCAGGTGCTCAGTATTAAGTGGTTTTTAAAGAAATTGATTGAATGAATAAGATAAAGGAAATGATGCTAATGTTTTGTCTATCTGTCTAATTCATTGATTGCCAATATGAGGCAAACATCTGGGTCTCATATCAGGGGCTAATAAATTTTAGTTAGCTTGGCTAGAGGCTTATTGACTTTTATTGATCTTTGTAAGGAACCAGCTTTTGACTTTATTGCTTTTTTTCTATTGATTTCCTGTTTTCAACCTCACTGCTTTTGGCTCCAATTTTTGTTATTCATTTTCTTCTACTTATTTTGGATTTAACTGGCTCTTCTTTTTCTAGTTTCCTAAAGCAGAAGCTTAGATTACTGAGTTTTGATCTTTCTTCTTTTCTAATATAGCATTTAACACTGGAAAGTCCCCCCAAATACTGCTTTCTTTGCATGTCACAAATTTTAATTTGTGTTTTCTTTTTTATTGAGTTAAAATACATTTTTTTATTTCTCTTGAGATTTCTTTTTTGGTTCATGTGTTATTTAGAAGTATGTTGTTTAATCTCCAAGTATTTTTAGATTTTCTGAGCTATTTTCTCTTCCTCCCTCCCTCCCTCCCTCCCTTTCTTCCTTCCCTCCTTCCATTTTCTTTCTTTTCCTTCTGTCTTGATAGAGTTTCACTTTGTCACCCAGGCATTGGCATAATTGTGGCTCACTGCAGCCTTGAACTTCTGGGCTCAAGCAGTTCCCTTGTCTTAGCCTCGCAAGTAACTGGGACTATAGCTGCACACCACTACGTTCAGCTAATTTTTCTCTATTTTTATTTTTTTTATTTTTATTTTTTATTATGAAGTTGTGGGGTACAGTTAAGGGTTAGGTATACAATTGTGTTTCATTCAGGCACCCTGTTGATATGGGGTGTTTCCCCATTCCCAGACAGATATTTGCTACTGTTAATCCCATCTCCCTCCCCCCACCATAGTTTCCCAGTACAGTCAGTCATTTTCGTATAGTATTGCATTGGATGTTTAAGGTCCATTATATGAGTGAGAACATGTGATACTCGGATCTTTGTTTCTGTGAGAGGTCACTCAGTATTATAGACTCTAGTTCCATCCAGGTTGCTGCGAAATTCATGATTTTGTTCTTTTTTATGACTGTGTAGTACTCCATCGTGTATATGTACCACATTTTTTTAATCCAGTCCTCTTTTGATGGGCAGCATGGCTGTTTCCAGGTTCTTGCTATTGAGAACAACGCTGCGATAAACATGTGTGTGCAGGTATCTTTTTTATAGAGTGATTTGTGTTCTTCAGGATATATTCCCAGTAGGGGGATTGCGGGGTCATATGGGAAGTTGGTATTTAGAGCTTTTAGGAATTGCCACACTGCTTTCCACAGAGGTTGCACTAGTTTACACTCCCACCAACAGTGTAGAAGTGTTCCCTTTTCACCACACCCTCTCCGGCAGCTGTTATTTTTTGACTTGTTGATAATTGCCATTCTGACTGGGGTTAGGTGGTATCTCAGTGTGGTTTTGATTTGTATCTCCCTGATGATTAGTGAGGTTGAACATTTCTTCATGTGTTTGTTGGCTGCTCGGATGTCTTCCTTTATGAAGTGTCTGTTCATATCTTTTGCCCATTTTATAATGGGGTTGTTTGTTTTTTGCTTTTCAGCACGTTTGAGTTCCTTGTAGATCCAGGATGTTAAGCCTTTGTCGGACCTGGAGTTGGCAAATACGTTTTCCCAGTCTGTAGGCTGTCTCCCTGCTCTCTTGATGGTTTCTTTGGCTTTGCAGAAGCTTGTCAGTTTAATAAGGTCCCACTTGTCTATTTTCTCTCTTATGAGCTGTGGGTTTTGGGTTTTGTTCAGGAATTGGATGCCAGTTCCGATTTCCATGAGGGTATTTCCTTCATTTTCTAAGGTTCTTATGGTTTGAGGTTTTACATTTAGGTCTCTGATCCATTGGAATTAACCTTTGTGCATGGGGATAGATAGGGGTCCTGTTTCAATCTTCTGCATGTGGTCAGCCAGTTTTCCCAGCACCATTTACTGAATAGGTTCTCCTCTCCCCAGTGGTAGGTGGTGGAGGCTTTGTCAAAGATGAGTTGGTTGAGAAATTGAGGTTTTGCTTCTGGAATCTCAATTCTATTCCATTGATCTATATGCTTGTTCCTATACCAATACCAAGCTGTTTTGATGATTGTAGCTTGAA